AGATCAAGAAACGGATGCACCTCTGGCATAGTGAGAAGCACAATATTTCGTACGAGCCCAGCGAGGAGGGATGTCTTCGAGATGGCATCTGGCGGCATATCGGGCTCTACCAGCATCGTCGACCGGAGAAGAGCGGTATTGCACAGAACAGTGTCAAAAATCTTGTGCAGCATATCGGAAGACAAGAACTGGCATTGCAGTGTCGAGGAATCACTGGATGGTATAACGGGTCCAAGTCCCTTCAGCTCAGCAGCAAGGGACCTGCAATGGTTTGACATGAATGGGTGTGGACCCTACGACTGGGGAGGTTAGCGAACGGGTCACAGATAAATCGAGGTTGTCCAACATAGTAGACCCATTCGGGCAGAGGCTGTTCGAGCGCGGGCACCAGAAACGCTGCTTCCTCTGGCCATGGTGTGGCGGTATTAACGGCGTGAAGGACGACGTTTTCAAAGGCGCGCCAAGGATACATGAGGTACTAAAGTCCGTCAGCGCCAACTAGGGAGGTTTACGGGCCGCAGTTCTCGTCCGATTGAAGGTCAAGATGACAATGAACTTGCAGAAGCCGCGAAGTTACGGGACAACCCTTGTTTGACTTCGCACTTCGGACACGTGTACTGCTCGGTTCAAGTTCTGCCGTCTCATGCAAGAGGCAAAGCACAGCCAGGAGGCCAGTCAGTACCCGTGGTATTTTGGTCCCAGTGACCAGCCTTTTGACCGAAAGTATGTCTAGTCTTCCTGTACTGATTGTTTGTGCAATATATACCTGTTCAGGACGTGATATGGTTGCCGACCTGCGCCTCGATCATACATCTCTGTACTTCAAAGTGGTCATGCACAGCCGTGTCAATGGCTAGCGCATACCTGATCATGAGCACTACCACTGACGGATCGAAGGCACGAACATATATATGCGTACGATGTAGTCACATGTATAGGCAGACTAGAGCTCCCCATTGAAACTCTACTGTTCCTGACTAACCTTATGGATCTCAACTAGACCTTGCCGTGTATGTTTGAGACGCCCGAAGGGCCATCGATGTGGGTCCCATTGCTGTACTCATGGGAAAGACAAGGCCTCGTGTGTAGATCAGAAAGCACTCTCCGTGACCTCTGAGTGTGTCACATGCGTCACGCTCTCTGTGGAAAGTGTTCGCTTAATATCCAGGACTATACTAATAACCCTCACTATTGTGCGTAGAGCGGCGTGGCTATGCCCCTCCACTCGTCAAGGAATATTATTATGCACGACGTGAGCTGTGATACGCCATGGCCAGCAGAGGCCGCGTCGTTGGCCCGTGCACTAAATGATCCGCTTCCTGGCTGGGTCTTCTATGTAATTCCCAATGAATGCGTTCCTTGGGTTGCTTTGCTGATACGATTTGCCAGGGTCCTCATCCGTTTACATCAAGCCATTGTATATCACTTACTTCGGAGCTGCAAGCCCAAAGATTGATCGTATCAGTGGAGAGCTCTGGCGTGTGGCCTCGGGAAGTGTCCCCTTGCGACCGACTCAGGCAATTCTTCGACATATCCCTGTGCACTACAGCTATTCTGCGCTCGACGATGTCAATTGAGACCGACATGCCTCCGGATGCGATATCAAAAAAATCCATACTAGTCAATTTCATTTGTAGTATCCTACTTCGCTCGGCTCCGGATGCTGTCCCTATGTGAGTCATATTTTGTCTTCTGGCCAGAAACTTCGCTCATTTATCCCAAAGCTGCGAGGCGAAATATATACTCCCGAGAGACCCGACCTGCCCGTACCATCCGTTGTCCAAGTTCACGAGGAAGGCGGCAGTTGCTGATCTGATTGTCTGCCATAGCCCTATGGAGCTATCTGATCAGGCTAATATCCCGTTAACTTGTCAGGAAACCGCACGTATGTCGCTCGGTCTGCGTGAGTGCTAATTACCGACTCATTTCTACTCTTCGGGAACTCTTCGGTCTAGCCGTCTCAGAAGGTTCACGAGACTCCCTTCCCAACCAGGCTCCGGCTCCTCAGACATGGGAACCATGGGAGTTGGATATCCCCGGCAGGATGGAGAGATTCTTTGATGAAGGGGAAGAGGAAGAGTCTGACGGCGACTCCATGCCAGTGCGACAAAATCCGCTGCTGAACAGGCATCTTCTCTCTACACCGGTGCCGTCAGACGAGGTTTTCCTACCATTTCTATGTGTCTCTGAGCAGGATAGTATATTCGATCTTCTTTCTAGTGCCTTGTATCAGCGGGTGGGGTGCGGATTCAAGACGCCACTTGTGGGCCTGACGTATCATTATGGGTCGCCTGCGGTACAGCTTCTTGTGGCTTGGCTCGAAGATGAAGATACAGATACATCCAATGGGCGCTTGGTACGAACAGTCGGAACTCAGATGTACTGCTTTCTGACTCTTCTCGGCCAGCCTGCTGTACACGTTGCATGTGAAGGTTCTTCTGGGCTCGGAACGCCACACAGCCTTTTCAATTTGTGTGACCCGCTGGATGCCTTGAGGCTGGCATCTCTTCTTATTTGCCTTCCGAAGTGTGTGTCTAGCCTGCGTGAACTTGGTGCGGGAGACTCGAGTCAACTTAACGTTGAGCCGCTGCCCTGGCGATCAGACTTTTACCCGATAGAGGACGGCTGTGACAATTCAAACGATTATGTAGCTAAGATAGCTGTGTGGGCAAAAGGCGTGGCTGATGCTATCGATCCTGTGGAAAGGTAAATATTTCATCTTCAAGTCGCCCTCGTGAGACCCTCCCTAGCGACTCTGACCCATCATTCACTCGTATAACGGAATACCAATGTCTCTCGATCCTACCCGAAGGTCATCCTCATCGCGTACCTCCCGGAGTTCCTCGTATGAGCTCACATTGGGTGCCATTTTACGCTCGCTGAGTCCGTCACTACAGGTTATGCGAGACTACCCTGTGAGGAAACTTGAAATCCAAGGACGATTCCACGAAACCCACGACACACAAGCAGGGCACTGGTAGCGTGGCAGAAAGTGAAGGCTCTGACGCTAAACCTTTGTCATGTTCCAAGTTCGTATGTTTCTGCTCCTCAATATAGGCTTGTCTCACGGAGTCTGCCTTCAAGATTTGCGAAAGGCAATTCCACAATGTGGGGGAAGTATCGCGATCTCCACGTGTCCCTTTGGATGGTGGACAGATCAGCATTTCTGTCGGCATTCATTGGTGAACCTTCACATCCTGCCGTCTCACAATATGAGGAATATACGGCATTGTACTGGCCAGAAGATTGGGACACCTTGGTGAAGACATCGATGTCTTCATGTATCTACCATATTGATAGCAGATGACAGGCTGCTATGCCTTCTGTGGATCCCTCCGTGGAGGACCTGAAGGAAGAACTATTCGGGATGATTCAGGCGAGACGCTCGCAAGCCGGTTCTCAACGCCCAAAAAATATCGCTCTGAAGCACATCTCTGACACGGTATCCTCAAAACTGTCCCACATTCTCCGTGTATGCCAAACGGTGCGTCTCAGGGCACTGAACGCGTCCGGGCACCCCAGCGTATATGAGGTTGAAACACGTGTCGACTGGGACACTCTCCTGCGGGAA